CTGGAGAGCCCGGCGGGTGCCGGCTGTGCCGGCAGGCAGGACTGGCCGGAGAGAGTGGTGGTGGGGCACAACGTGGCCTTTGACCGGGCGTTCATCAAGGAGCAGTACCTCATCCAGGTAATCCACTGTGCCATTGCTTCGTGCCAGCAGCTGCACTTGATAGTTTACCCAGATAGTTGTTTGTGCTGGATTTTCAGGATTATTTTGGCAGATGCTGTTCTGCACAGACACCCCACGGTTGTACTCGCCTCGTGCTGCAGAACGGGTTGAGGTTGGACCCATTTAGAGGGAGATATTCTTGCACCCCATAAAGGTGCTGGAGGCTGCAGGGTTGCAGCTGGGGACGTGTCGGGAGCCTTTGCGCAGCTGACAGCCCGCGCTGGGGGTGCTCATGGCCCTCAGAAGAGGGGTGCTGGGAGGCAAAGCCTTGCCTTGATAAAAGCAGCCCGAGCAGAGGACTTACAGCTCTGTAACACGGGGCGGTACTTGCTGGCAGCTGTAGGACACTTGGCAGCACGTTCCTTCTCCAGCACATCCCAAACCGCCTCTCCCCTCTCCCCTGATGTGTCCCAGGGCTCCCGGGTGCGTTTTCTGGACACCATGAGCATGCACATGGCCATCTCGGGGCTGACGGGCTTCCAGCGCAGCCTCTGGATGGCTGCCAAGCACGGCAAGAGGAAGGGACTGCAGCAGGTCAAGGAGCACATGAAGAAAACACGCAGCAAAACGGAGGGGCCGGCTGTGAGTAAGGGAGCTGAGCCGCTGGCAGGGGCGTGGGTGGCAGGGAACCATTTGATCCTGTAATGGGAGCATTTGCTCCTGTACTGGGACCATCTCCTCCTGTACTGGCAGAGAAGGAGCTGTTGGAGCAGCTCTGCTGGGTGACGCTCTCCCAGCCCCTTCCAGATGACCCAGCCTTAGTTTGAAGTGGAACAGCGGCATTCTTTATCCCTCCTGATCTCGGCTGTGGCCGGTCCTTGTCTCGCTCCTTGTTCACAGGTCACTTCGTGGGACTGGGTGCACGTCAGCAGCATCAACAACCTGGCAGACGTGCACGCGCTGTACGTCGGCGGGGAGCCGCTGGAGGAG